AAAATATGTTTCGGTATATATGCAGAATAGTTTAGATAATTGTCAATTTCTGCTGGTCTTTTGAAAGGACCAGTTAAAGCTTAAATTTTTTTTTTAAACTCTTGATTTTTTTCCTTCTTCTTTTGAATGTCTTATAACTTCTTTGTTATTATTTTTTTTAAACTATCTTATGTGTTTGTATCTGATAATCTGAACAACTAGTTTGGGGATAGCATCCTATGATACAGTAACTATCATTGAATTCCTATTGCTTTGTTTGGTGAAATCTTGTATTGTTTGTATTTTTTTTATCACTATTTTGTATTCATTAAAAATAAAAAGGATGAATTTTTAAAGATGAAAGTATACCTCAGAAGCATGCTAAAATATAAAGCCATAGAAATAATTTGACTTCATTTGGAGTATATTCAGAGAAGTGGCAAAAACTAGTACAGCAGTACCTCAGTTCTCAAATGCTTTTTTTTTTTTTTTGTCAGAACCGGGGATTGGACTCAGGGTCTTGCACTTGCCAGGGAAGCGCTTATTCCACTGAGCCATCTCCCCGGCCTTAAATGCTTTTGTTTGAAGACCAAAAAATTCCTGTGCATGTGTCACCCCGTAAGGGTCTCCCACTTTACTCAGTGTTGTATGTGTGGTTTTGTTACAGCTCTTTTCAACAGCTGATCCCATGGGTACTTTGCTCCAGATTCCAGAACAGATTTCTGCTCATCTACCTCAGCCAGCTGGGCAGATGCCTACACAGCCAACTCAAGTTTCACTCCCACCACCAGCAGAGCCAGCAAAAGCAACTCAGGTACAGTGGGTATATGCACCAGTGTTGCCTTGTAGGTACATGAGAAGCAAATGTCATCAGGAGCACAGTCCTTAGGTTGGTGTCTCCATAGATTTTTAAACAAATTAGAAATTCTGTCTTCATAGTTTTAAGTATGAGTAGATAAGAGGTATTGCTAGAAATCACCCAGGTCTTAAGCAACATATTTTAAGCACATATTCACTTACTTAGTTAATGGCGAGACATTTAAAACCAGAAAGTTTTGGCAAATTTCTTTTCAACTTTATATTAAGTCATTATTAAATTCAGTTTTAGAATGTAGCTGATGGAGTTCATACTACAACTGAGAATCATCGTCTCTGCCATTTTCTGCTTTTTCTCTTATGTTGGTATTGTTTATGCTTTCTCCATCCATGGTATCCTTGCATTACTCTTTTAAAGATATTAGTTCAGTTTTTTGAGGTTTTTTTTAAAAAAAACTAGGTAATATGATCCATAAACTGAGCCCAGAACAACAACAAAAAAAAAAACTGTATTAGATTGTAGCATGCTGTAAGCAACTGAGTGAATGAAGGCCTCAGTGTGAATTTCTGCTTGCTATGGATTCTCATGCTCCCCTTAAAAAACCTCTGATCCTAAATATAGCTTGTGGCCTCGTGCTGTGTGGCTAACAGAAGAGTTTGGATTCAGTTTATTTATTAAACACCACAAATTTTTCTTTTTTCTAACCTTTTAGGTTAAGGAAAATGGAACATGTGAATTTTCTTTTTGCACCTATGTGTGTTAGTCTGTTTTCGGAAACCACTGCTTTGAGCACTTACAGTTAGTTATGGCAGTGGTTGTATTTAACCTTTTTATCCTTCAGGCTTTCCATTTCTGCTCATTATAAGAGAAAAAATACTGTTGTTTTAGGAATGAAGATGGCAGCATTTTTTGCCTAGTGCTGAGGAATGAAGACAAGGCCTTAGGTGTGCTAGGCAAGTGCTCTACCACTGAGGTGCACCCCATTCCTTTTTCATTTTGAGACAGGGTCTTACTAAGTTGCCGACTGGCTTCAAACTTGAGATCCTCTTGCCTCAGCTTCTCAGGCATTATTGTACTTGGCCAAAAACATTGAATTAATTTTGTAAATACTTTAAAATAGATGGTATATCCACTAGTAAGTAAGAGTTAGCTGCACAGGTTTTAGAGAGATTTAGTTTAGCCATGAAAAGATCTGGAACCTTTGATTGAACAGACTCCTAAGGGACAGCCAGTTTAGACCCTATCTTGTGTGTTGCCACATGAAAGATAGTGTGGGGAGAAGGTAGTATGTTGGTGGGGCTCTTTTTTCATTATGATTTTTAAAAAAATAATTTTATTGAGAAACAAATAGCAATGAGACAGTTTCAAAACCGATTACCAGCACAGTTTTAATAATTAATACATTGCATGTTGTTGCCTTAATGGTTATTCATTGTACAAGATACAGACATGATATCCTGTCCACAAACACTTATTAGAACAAATCTGTCTATTCAGTGATCCAAGAGAATGCAGCTGTGTATCTATCCTAACTATTTTGAACATACAGATACAAAATGGTCATTCATTTGTATCCTTTTTTGTTTAGTTATGTGGGGCTCTTTTTGAGACAGCGTCTTGCTGTGTATTCTAAGTAGGCCTCAAACTTGAAACGGTCCTTCTGCTTCAGCTTCCTGAGTGCTGAGATACATACTTGCAGCACTGTGCTTAGTTCTGGTTGAGTTTTTATGGGGAGAAACCTAGCTTCATGTTTTTATTGTTGTACCAGAGAATAGCAAGTAAAAAACTACAAAATGTAAATGTGGATGTGTACTGAAATTCTGGTTTGAGTGGCAGGCTGACCTTTTGCTTCTGTTCTATTTGGGAGTACATGTCTCCCATGGCAGAGACCGTGTTAGGGAGAGGATAAGCTCACCTGGAGAGAAGGAAATGACTGCCAAGTAGATGATTACTTTGCAGGTGACCATTAGTCACCTCCACACTTAATGTTGCATGCAATGACTTTAATTCTTCAATGCATTTTAGGCTCTGTCTTCAGGATCAGGTTCACAAGAAACCAAGGTCCCTATCAGTCTAGTACTAAGATTAAGGTAAGTGTACTATCAGTGCTATATGGTAGTTGTAGTTGTTTGTATCAGATTAACTGGATAGGATTCTGTGTATTCTGAGCATTAGTTGCTCTTTGTTTCAGGTGTATTATTTTCCTCAGAGATAACAGCAACAGTATGAGTAACTGGCTGTTAACAGGCACTGGGACTGACTGTTGTGTGTGTCCTCATTTGTTTCCCAGCCAGTAGTGACAGGTGTGTATATCAGCAGCGTAGCTAGTCTGGGTTATACGGCATGGTCTATAAGTTTTCGAGATGAGTAACAGTTACTGCCTGAGTTTATGGATGATTAGTCTTATAATGTGATGATAGAAGCACCATAGACTCAAGGATCAACAAATTCAAGAGGTGTCTCAGTTACTTTTTCCTCATTGCTGGGACAAAATACCCAACACCCAAAATTAAGAAAGAAAAAGTTGATTTAGCTCATAGTGGAAGTTTTAGTCCAAACTCCCTTGGTTTCGAAACAGAGTGGCACATGGCAGAGAGTAGCCATGCATGGTGGTGGAAAACAGTGAAGAGCAAAGGGAGGAGCAGTGGCTGAGGTGGCTAGTAAGCCTCTTTCTCTTCCATGTATTGTGTGCTGATTATCTACCCTATGGCGGGTGTAGCACTCACATGCATAATCCCAGCATTGGAAGATGAATTAATCACAAGCTCTAGAAGCCACCACAATGACTGCATGAAACTTTGGGGGGGCCAACTGGACACAAACCATCACAAGAGTGTACTGACTGGTTTTATGATTGTGATAGATCAAATGAGCATGAAAATAAATATTTCTGAACATACTTTCAGTGGGTTTTTTTGGTGACAAATACATGGTTCTTAGTGGGAGCATATAAACAGATCCTGCAGTTTGTGCATTTAATCTTTTTTTAGTGGTACCGGGGATCAAACTCAGGACCGTGCACTTGCTAGGCAAGCACTTATTCCACTGAGCTATCTCCCCAGCAGTCTATGCATTTTAAACTCCTGAATTGGTCATCTTTTCCACCTGTAGGACAAAATACTCAATACCTGCAAACTAAAGAGGAGAAGTTTGTGCTGGCTCATGGTTTTAGAGGTGTCATTGCCTGGGTGGATAACTTCATGGCAGGAAGATCATGGCAGAAGGGCAGAGCAGAGCAAAGCTGCTCACTTCATGACTGCTAGGAAGCAGAGCACCAGACAGAAGGAGGTAGTAGGGACCAGAGTCAGGGCCCAAGGTCATGCTTCCGAAACAGTCACTTTAGGCATCTCAAGCCAGTCAACAGTCATGATAACCATCACAGCCCCCTATCTCATGCTAGCATGTACCTGGATTAAGATTCTAGAGTTTGTTAGAATACTTGTGGCAGCTGTATTATTGCATTTAGCGCTCTCTACTCATAAAATGCATTTAAAAAATATTAAAAACCACATCATGTGAAACATCCCAGTCCTTCTTTAACTGTTACTGACATATGAAAAGTGCCTCATTAAATTGCTGACCAGTCCCCCACTCTACTTGTGAATTTCTGGTTATCTCAGGAAGGTCATTATTAGAGATTGAGGTAGTGATAGCTACTTTGAGCAGCTTTTGATCTTACTTGGAGCAGTAAAATTATGCCATAAATATGAAGAATGAAGACCTGGTTTCTTTCTTTTACAGAAATTACTCCATAAAGCTAGTCTCATTTTAAGTAGTTCTGTATTAATAGGATACTGTGGTAATCCTACCCTATTTTCGTAATAGACAGGTAAATAATAGTCTTTTTAAAGAAATTTCTTTTGACTCATAGCAATGTGTTGCAGGAAGGTGAAAATGTTCACAAGTTATGCAGTTAGAAGGTGAGATTCTTTTTCCTACTGCTGAAGTGAAATGGCTCCTTTAATAATCAAGTCTAAGTTAGATGCTGATTTGTAGTATTTGCCTGCACAACTAAAAGCTAGTTTCAGGTGTCCTACAAGCATTAATGCCAGTTTTTATTTGTCAGTGTAGAGAGAAAGCATTGCAAGAGAAAAATGGGATAGCTTGTCTTTGAGATAAGTCACTGAATTTTAACCACAATTTCAGTGAAATGCTCTAATATTTTATTTGTCAAATAGACTCAAACCCTGCACTTTGTTTAGATAAGATGGCTTTGGCTCATAGATAATCAGATGTGTCTTCTTTTGACATAATCTTCCAGTTCCTCTACTTTCAACCAGAATTTCCAGGAAAGCAAGTCAATCTCAGTACATAGTGTAGTGATCACTATACTATAACTACCTCATGAGTTCGTTTCAGTTTCTGGAGTTGTGGTTTATCTCTGATGCTAGCATGGGCCTACTCTCTTTACCTACCTATCTAATCCTTCCCATTCCTATCTAAAAATAGCTTCCAAAATTTCCTTTCATCTTTCCACTCTCATGTGTTCTTTTCTGAATTCTGTAGAATTTGAGAGAATATCATATATTTCATAAATTTTTCCTGGCTGATCATTAGAGACAGGCAAGGTTCCAGTGATCTGAGTATGGGGATAAGTGATCTGGGAGTGGTGACAAGGCTGGAAAACATTGCTGTATCATTTTAATTACACTTACCTGTGTTAGCATGGAGTTTTCAGTGTTTTTTAATTGACAGTATTAGGGATCCAGCCCTTTTAGTTTTTGAGACAGGGTCTTGATAAGATGCCTTGGTGTGACTCAAACTTGATATCCTCATGCCTTAGCCTCCTTTATTGCCAGGATTACAAGTATGTGCTTCGGTGCCTGGCTTCTTTTAGTTTTATATGATTGTCTGTCCTTGTTCGTTTTGTATTGTTAAAACTAGAATACCTGAGGCTGGGTCATTGTTGAGAATAAAATTATTTCTTTCAGTTCTAAAGGTTTGTATGTCCAAAGTTTAGAGGTCAACATCTGATGAGGGCCTTTGTGCTTCCTTATCTCATGGGCAAAGAACAAGAGGTGGCTAAATTCAGTTTTATAATAAACTCACCAGGGGCATTAACCCACTTAAAAGGACAGAGCCCTCCTGAGCTAATCATTTCTTAAAAGTCTCAGAGCTGGGCCTTGTGGTGCATACCTGTAATCTCATCACTTGGGTGGTTGAGGCAGGAGGACTGCCAGAGGTTTGAGGCAAGCCTAGGCTACATAGTGAGTTCAAGTCCAGCCTGAACTTCATAGTGAGACCCTGTCCTCTCTACCCACAAAGTTCCACCTTTCCAGTCTTGCATTGAGAGATTTCTACCACATGATCTTTGTCCGACTTATTCAAACCATAGCATCATCTTATTAGGAAATAAGATGGGAGTGGGTGTTTATGAGATTTTTATATTGATCAGTGTGGACACAAGTGCAGGGGCTTGTAGGATAGTTAGATGATGGTGCCCAGCCCAGAATCCTGCAGTGTGAACATATGCACTACATATTACGTGATCTGAGTTTACAGACAAGGCATAGTTCTTCTGGTGTAGGCAGACTCTGTGTGTCAGTTGAGAAATTCTTACTCTGTTCATTATGTTTTGTTTCATAGGAATTCCAAAAAAGAACTAAATGATATTCGATTTGAATTTACTCCTGGGAGAGGTGACGTATCCAAAAGATTGAAAGCAACTTCAATTTTTTAAAAAATTTAATTAAATGTGAATTTCTTGGTCTTTAGATTTGTTTTGCTTTTAAAAAAGGTGATAAAAATTACTTGTTTAGGTTTTGGGGACATATAAATAAAATAAAAATGCAGGTGTTGTATTATGAAGCTTATTTGGAAAGTATAATATAATATATAGGGCCGGGGAGATGGCTCAGTGGAATAAGCGCTTCTCTGGCAAGCGCAAGGGCCTGAGTTCAATTCCCCGGTTCTGGGGATATATATATATATTAGTGAATCCATCTTTTACTGCTTTGCTGTGGGCCAGGCATTGTGCTAAATGGTCTTATCTCAAAACTCTCATATCAGCCTCCTAAGAAGAAATTACTCTCGCTATCAGATTATGAGATTAAAACTTGGAGAGAGGTAAAAATAGGTTACATAGCTGGAAAGAGGTAGCTGTTGTTCAGAGATTTTTCCAGGTGTAAAGTCCTTGCCCTGATCTCTGTGCACGCTTATTCCTTACGATAATAAAGAGAAAATGAGGTCTCCAATCTGCTTTATTGTCACACAGAAACTAAACACACTGAATGCCGTGTTCCTGATCATGAATTTCAGGCTGGAAAAAGGTGTAGTTTTTTTTTTTTTTTTTTTCTCTAGCCTATGTTACATAGAGTATTTATTTGGACAGCCAGTAGATACCTGTTCTGTGTTCCATATTACTCTTTTGGCTGTGTCAGTGCCAGCAACTGAGCATTAAGGAGAGCAGGGGCAAGCATACAGAGGTGTCTGTTTTACTTTTTTTTAGTGCCAAGCAGTCACATTTTCAGGAATTAATTAAAATTAAAATTACTGGTCATCTGTGTGGATGAGGGGCTCAATGTCCAGCCCTCAAAAGCCGGTACCAGTGAGTCAGTTGAATATGAAATTAATTAGGAAATAGCCCTTGTCTTTTTAGTTTCTAGTTATACTCATTGCTCACATTGTATCACCCGAGATGATTGGGTAAGCAGAAAAGCCACCAGAATAAAAAATGACTTTAGCAAAGCACTTGAAAGATCCTCAAAGAGAAGGTTTTGCATTTTTTTTCTTTTTTGAGAATAAATCATGTTTGTTATTAGCACTGGAGTTCTATATTCAGTTTCATGGCTCAGAGCTCAGATAGCTCAAGTCCAGTGTTCTTGAAAATACAAACTTCTTCTATATTATCACTGTTTGGGGCTCTTCTGACATGGGTGTGTCTTCAATTGCTTAGACAGTTATCTGTACTTTGAGCTGATGCCTGGCACCTATCAGATTCTGCCTTCTATCAAGACCTTTGAAAATTCCTCACTTGTGATAATCCCCAGTGAAAGAACAGCTTCCTGCCTTCTTGTTCTGTGGTTATAGAAATTAACTTGGGTCTGGCAGTACCATCACCCATACTGGCTCAGAGTCAACAATGATAAGCTGGAGCAATTTTTTTCTCTGTCCTTGCAGATACAGCAGAAGGTGTCTCTCAGGAACTCATTTCTGCTGGCCTGGTCGATGGAAGAGATTTAGTAATAGGTAACTTCATTGTGCTTTGCCCTTGTCCCTCTGTGTCTCTGTGTACTTAGCACCTAACACCTAGAATTTCATTACATTGAATAGGTCAGCAGATTTTTGAAATGATTCTTCGCTTAGTGGAAATTACAGTTATTCATTACGGTTTACTTTGTGACTTCTGATATAGTACATGAAAGAATACCCAGTCCTCTGGGATATTGTATTAGAAATGATGACAGAAGTCATAGGTTATTTGTATTTTGGTATATGTAGTTGTGCTTACAGAGGTAAGCAAACTTGGGTGATTTAGTTCTAGAAAAAGCAAGCAGGCAGGAATGAGGGTTAGGATTAGGTCAGCCACAGGTATGTATCACTGATGGTGAAGACTATCATTTTTGATGGGTCAGCAGTGTTCCTGTAAAAGGCCAGATAGTAGACATAGTCCTTGATGTCAAAATGAGCTCTTTCTGAGAGAATGTTTGTAAGTCATATTCATTTGTAAGTCAGACAAAGCAAGTCTTACAGTGTATACCTGTGAAAATTTGCAATTCGAATGTTTGTAAGTGAGGGACTTATTATTTCAGGCTTCGTGGGCCATGAAGTCTCTGTCATTTTAAAACCATCTTTAATTTGCAAGCAGAATAGAAAGGAACTAAAGGCCATACTTTGTTGGTTCCTACTCTGAGGCTTTCTGAGTCGTGAATAGGCATATCATATCTCTGTCACCTGATGCCTGTCTTAGGCTACTTAACACATTTTATATATTTATTTATTTTTATTTTTTTTGGCAGAACCGAGGATTGAACTCAGACCCTTGTGCTTGCCGGGGAAGTGCTTATTCTACTGAGCCGTCTCCCTGGCCCCTTCATTTTAAAGAAAGTTAATTTAACAATGATTCAGGATGTATATTTGTACAATCTAGAGATGAGTTTAAAAGATACTTTCATTTGGGAAATGATTGATTGATCTTTTCCCCTTCATTTTAGTTCTACATAGAAGATCATTAACCAGTATTTAAGCTTTTAAAACATGATTAAAGTGGATTTACATAGCTTCTCATTCATTACTTTCTCTTTTTATGATTACAGTGGCTGCTAATTTGCAGAAAATTGTGGAAGAACCTCAGTCAAATCGATCTGTCACTTTCAAGCTGGTATTCATTATTTTCTTCTTACTAAGCCATCTTACCTTTTACAAAGATAGCAGCCTGGGCAGATCAGTTTTTATACCCCTTGAATGGTGAGAATATTAAAGTCTAGTGGATTGCCCTTAGCCCTGAGCTGATGTCTCCCTTTGAGTGGCCTGCCTTTTTTTTCCCTCTCAGAACCTTTGACCCTCAGTCTGTGTTCAATAAGCCCGTAGGACTCAGTTATGTACCCCATTTCCTTGTCTTCTTGAGAAAACACGTTCATCAGACTCCCATTTATATCCCAGGGACCTGCCACCCAGTGCCTTTCTTGCTATAGTCTCATACCAGTTTTAATTATAACCTGCAATTTTGTTTATAAATAGCCACAGTTTATCATTTTGTTTGGTTCTCAGGCATCTGGTGTTGAAGGCTCGGATATTCCTGATGATGGCAAACTAATAGGATTTGCCCAACTCAGCATCAGCTAAACCACCGCCCCACAAGAAGTGGCCTAAGGAGATTCCACACAGCATATCTCTGTTGCTTCTATTGGCCTCAACCCACTACTGCCAAAGAACCTAGCAACAAACCTCCCGTCTAGGAGCTTTAGAGTTCTTTGTTTTTCCTGCCATCCTTCCCCCTTTTCCCTACAGGGAAAGAACAGTTGGGTCACCCATGGCCAGCATCCCCTTAAAGAGTTCCGTTAATAAATGCTGCACACGTCCCCTCTCTTCCTCCTTTTGAGAAGTGGCCCATGTGCCTCGAGGCCAGGAGGGAGATCTCAGCTTGTTCTTGCCTTACTCCAGTGATGGCCCAGGTGGAAAATTGCAGCTCTATGGACATCCTCATCTTGCCTGTTCTCACACCTGCCATAATGGGGGCATCTTGGGTTATCTCTTTACCACTGAAGTAGCAATTAAAAGTTGATTGTTCCGCGGGAGCCCAGAGAATTTAATTAGTGTTTTTTCTTTGTCCCTGATGTGAATTCTAGCAAGCTTTGTTAGAAAAAAGCACAGCCTCTGATGGAGGCAGCCTAAACTGTGTTCTTGTTTTGTTCATAGTATCTCTTAAGTGTTTTGCTGAAGCTGCTCTCAGGCACCCCGTTCTTCATTGCTCCCTCCAAAAGGGTTGCTAGCCTTAACTTCAGCTGGTGCAAAACATCTGACTGTAGTCAAACTTCAGCCATTGGATTCTTCAAAGTGGAACTTCGTACTGTTTCTGCATTACAAGTGCATTTTCCATTATATCAAATAATGGCTTGTGAAAGTAAATTTTTCCAGAAGTGGTTTTTGAAAACAAAAATCGGAATTCATGATTGGAAAAGTATTTATTTTCAAATTAAAATTAAATTGAAGAAAAACTGCTCCTCGATCCTCCTATGAGAATCAGTTTACCTGGCCTCCAAGTCACAAGGAAGTGAGTGTGCAAGGCTGAGATTTCTACAGCAATAAAGGAGACTCACCCTGGGCCAGAGGCCTGCCTTCTGTCCCTCTCCTGCACTGACTCTCTGGAGGGGGTCCCTGTGCGCTGAACCTGACTCTGATGGAAAGTGAAACCACATGTGCCGTGACCTTTAGGTTTTATGAGTAGACAGTGTACATTTGATTTTCTACAGAAATTATATAACTTATTCTTTAGGTTTAAAAAGAGCATTCATAATGCAATATGTGAATAATCAATGGGGTTGATTTTGCTTTTTTGCCTACTGTTTCATAGTCTTTGCCTAACAACTAATAACCAAGTTACCAAGTTTTCTATGTGAATAGGGTATTTGATCTGGCCTTAAAGAGACACACAGAGGTGGGCTTTAGGCCCATGGAAAGGAGAGAGTTGCCTTTTATAGAATCACTTGAGCCCTTTCCATATTGTTGATCTGAAGAATAAGATTACTTTATCTAGTTTTCCTTTGGAATGTACCTGATAGTTTTTCCCATAACTATTTGTCATAACTTTTGTCCCATTCTTTCTGAGCCTGTAGCTTTAGGTGTGGGTGTTCTTTATCTGCTTGGGTACAGAGGCATGTTGGGATAGGGGTGGATGTTGGGAAGGGAAAGGGGATGGATTTGAGAGGAGATTTGGGAGAGTAGAGTAGAAGATTAGACACCAAGTCCAAGGTCCTAGCAGGATTGGTTAAAGAAGGTAGTCTTCTAAGTCAGGAGGGAGAAAAAAGATTGATGAACTTTTCTGGAAAAATAGTTCGTGTTTTTCTTTGGGGGACATGGGCCTGGAGATTAGAAAGTAAGGTCAGGGAAGAGGGAATGGAGTGTAGAAAGGAGTTAATGTCCTCTTTGGCACAAAATTAATGGCTTGCATAGTCTATTTTTTAGTTTCAAAACCATTCAAGTCTACTTATTTATGAACCTGGGAGGGGCCTCAAACCTGTTCCAGCTTATGACGGAGTGGTCTACGTTGGGATAGGCATAAGCAGCAGCCTGTCCTTTGTTTACTTTCTCCAGCCATCATATCTTTGAACCTCAGTGGTACAAGCCTAACAACAAATGGAGTGGGGCTTTCTTTTCTTTTTAGTTAAATTGCCCTTTGTGGAGTTAGAAGGTAGAACCACAGTCTCAAGACAGTGTTATTTCTTTTTCCCCATGATGGCAAATTCCTACTGGCTTGTACAGTGATACTGAGATTGCCCAGGTGGAACAGCCTGAAGCCTTTCCAGGAGTTGTGGTTCAGAGTACTCCTGGTCCCCTTGTCCCTGGAGTATATAGCTATATTAACTATATAGCACAAGGTAATATGTGCCAATGCTATTTGTGAAATGGTCTTTCTAAAAGACTAATGAATTGGAGAATTTTACTTAACTTTTGAACCAAAATCTTAGAGACAGCTGGTACTATTTAATAATCTGGAGGACAGAATAATGGTGTATCGATAAATGGAGGTTCCTCCTTGTGATGTATGCTAGATTATTGAAGATGTAAAATATTCAACTTTCCCTCTGTTTGACTGTATTTTACTGCATGTTTTCTTCATTTTTAATCAATAAAGAAAAAGTTGCCCTTAGTTGTGTTTGGATGCTTTACTTAAGTGGCTGTTGGTGAGGAGCTGTGGGAAGTGGATCACCACTTTAAGTTTTCATGTAAATAGAAGACAAGTATATCTAAAACTGCTTGAGTATAACTGTGTAAGTAGAGAAATTGAAATCCCCCAAAAGAAAGGATGAGATCTTTTTCCAGAACTTTGATAGGGTGAGATGTGCATCTCTTCTGTTTTTAGCTTTTCTGAATCTTTGGTACTATTCATTGTGTGTAGTAGGACTGAAATTCACTCTGGTCAGCTTTCATAATGAGTTGGGGTTCCACGTACGATTTTAGGCTCCTTTGTATTCTTCTCACCTACAGAGTGAATAATCTCCCTGATTACAATCCTTCCGGAGAAAGCCAAAATTCATGATGGAACTGTTTATAGGTCCTGGTATTTTATATTCATTCATTCATTCATTCATTCATTCATTCATTCATTCATTCATGTATTTGGTACAGGGTCTCACTGTGCAGCTTGGACTTATAGTGACCCTCCTGTTTTCAGCCTCTCCAGCACTAGGATTACAGGCATTCACGACCCTGCATGGATTTGTTTGTAGCTCAGCGTGCCTTAGGGGCAGGGCTGGCATATGCAGGACCGGGGAATCAAACCCTGGTCCCTGCACTTGTCAAAGCAGATGCTTAGACTGCTGAGCTATCTTGCAAGCTCTTAGGTCCTGGTATTTTAGAGCACAGGTTGTGAAGCCATGGTGTTGATGGCATTAGATAACCTGCAGCTGATGGGTTTAGTTTCAAGATAAATAGGTTACAAAAGTGGGCAAAGAAAAGTGACTAGTCCAGCTGAGAACTAAGGACACAGGGACAAGAGTAAATTGGGCCTGTCCATTTGTTCATTCTTTCTAACTGGATCACAGTAGGTCACTAGGCCTGATTCTTTAGCTTTACTTTTTGCAAAGTAGCAAGTTAAGTGCAACAGTCAATTCAGGGATTCTGCCTTTGAGTCATTACCTACCTCATGTCTGCTTGTTAAATAGACTTCTGTAGAGCAGTTTTAGTCTTAACAGCAGAATCAAGTGGAAAGCAGAGTCCCATATACTCCCTTGACCAGATCAGCCTTAACTTTTTGTAATCTGACTAGATTAAGACATGCCTATCAGGTTAATAAAGTACTTTTGTTTGTGTAGGGTGTTTCCAGAGATGATTGACACACTGGTCAGTAAATTGAGGGGGAAGACCCACCCTGATTTTGGGTTACACTATTCATTAGGCCCCTAAGCCTAGATGAAATTATAAAGGGGGAAGGAAGAAGTTACTCACCATTTTTAAAAGTTCTATTTAGCCTGCATGGTGTGTCCCTTCTTAGAAGTGCGTATTTATTATACAAAATGAATACATTAATCATGGGGAGTTGGTAATTTTGTACATAGCACATTTTAGTCCTTTTCTATTTCCCCTCTACCTTTTTCCCTTGATTCCCCTTCGTGGGTGTGTCTTGTGGTGCCATTGCCTGTGAACATCAGACTCTAGTTTTAGTCACTACCAGTGACTCCAGGGAGCTCTAGCTTCTAGTTTCCAACTTGCTCTGTACCCTTGATCCCTCCTGTTCTGTGGCTTCTGGACACATTAAATATTTAAGACTTTTGATTCTCTTCTAGAGAACTCTAATGAATAAAGTTATCAACATTTTATACCACATTTGGTACAATTCATGACGTGCGTGATCATACCATTATCAGCAAAAATACACAGTTTATATTTGGACTCTATATTGGTTTTGAGCAGATATTGAGTTCTTAAAAAATATTTTTATATTTAAAATGTATTGATTGGGGCTGGAGAGATGGCTCAGTGGTCTAAAGCACCTACTTGGAACAAGCTTGGCAAAGCATAGGGACCGCGGTTCAATCCCCCAGCACCACATGCTAGCCAGCCCCGCCCCCTGGCGGGCTGAGCTGGCCCCCCCCCACACACACAAAATGAAAAAATAAATAAAATTTAAAATGTATTGATTACTGTCAAGTGTAATGATGTGTAATGTAACTACCATTATAGTACAGCAGTTCACTATGCCTGATTCAGAATTGCCTCATGGCCCCACAATCACCTCTGCTCTGCCTCTTTATTCCACCCAGGTCCACTAACTTGGAACCACTGATATTTTTACTCTTACCTTTATCACAGTGTCCCTATAGTTAGTGTTATACATTGTGCAGCCATTTTAAGTTAACTTCCATCACTTAGTCATATGCATGTAATTTCTATCATTGTTTTAATTTATAAAGTTAGTACATTCTAGGTGTACATAATGATCACATTCATTATAGAGAATTTGTACCTGTACATTCATTGTGTACAAAAATGCTACTGATTTTTGGGTGTTGACTGTATCCTGCTATGTTACAGAATTTGGTGATTAAATCTACAAGACTCTTGGAGTTTTGGGGGTCCTCTATGTCGGCTATTATGTAATCTGCAAATAATGATAATTTCACTTATTTTCTAATCCTTATTCCTTTTCTTTCTGTTGTCTAATTGCTCTGGCTAATATTTCCAGAACTATATTGAATAGGAGTGGAGACAGTGGATATCCTTGTCTTGTTATTGATTTTAAAGTGAAGGCCTTCATTTTTGTCCACTGAGTATGATGTCTGAATTTTTTTTTTTTTTTTTTTTTTGGATTGGGGATCATACTCAGGACTTTGTGCTTGCCAGGCAGGCATTTATACCACTGAGCTATTTCCCCAGCCCCTATTTAGTATGATGTTGGCTGTTGGTTTCTCATAGATGGCTTTTATCAGGTTGAGATATAGATTATCCCAATTCTCCGTAAGGTTTTTACCATAAATGAGTGTTGGACTGTGTGAAAAGCTTTTTCTGCATCTATTGAGATGATCATGTGGTTTTTGCTTTATTGATGTGGTGTATTACATTTATGGATTTGCATATGTTGAACCATCCTTGCATTCCTGTGATGAATCCCACTTGGTCATGATGTATAATCTTCTTGATTTACTGCTTTCTGCCTGCTAGTATTTTATTAAGCATTTTTACATCTATATTCATTAGAGAGCCTATAGTTTTCTTTTTTAGTTAGATATTTCTCTGGTTTTGGAGTTAGAGAACTACTTGTCTCCAGGAATGAGTTTGAAAGAATTGCTTCCTTTTCAATTTCGTGGAAGAGTTTGAGAAAGGTTGGCATTAAATCTTCCCTAAATTTCCTGGAGAATTGTGCTGCGAATCCATCAGGACCTGGTCTTTTCTTTGTTGGTAGGTTTTTAATTACATTTTCAATTTTGTTTCTTGTTATTGGGTTATTCAGAGTTTGTATGTCTTTTTGAGTCAGCTTTGGCATTTCATATATATCTAGGAAATTGTTCATCTCCTTTGTGTTTTCCATCCTGTGAGAGTAAAGATTTTCGAAGTAGGTACTGATGATCTGAATTTCTCTAAGGTCTGTAGTGATTTCACCCTTTTCATTCCTTATTGTATGAATTTGTGTTTTTTCTTTCCTTTTTTAAGTGAGATTGGGTAGGGGTGTATCAATTTTATTTTTTCTTTCAAAGAACCAACTCTTTGATTCATTTATTCATTGCTTTGTTTTCTTTGTCTCAGTTGCATTAATTTCTGCTTTAATCTTTCTAATTTCCTGCCTTCTTTGGACTTTGGGCTTGACTTGCTCTTTTCTTGGAGCTTGAGGTGCAGCATAAGATCATCTATTTGGGCTTGTTCTGTTTTCCTAATGTGTGAATTTATTGCTATAAATTTCCCCCTTAAGAAAGCTTTCATTTATCCCACAAGTTTCAGTAAGTTGTATCTGCATTTTTGTTTGATTGTAAATATTTTTAAATTTCTTTAATTTCATGTGTGATCCACTGATTGTTTAGGGCATTGTTATTTAATTTCCATGTGTCTGTGGTGGGTTTATTTTTGTTGTTGTTGTTTGTTTTTGTTTTTGCAGTACTGGGGATTGAATTCAGGACTTTGTGCTTGCCAGGAAAGTGCTTATTCTACTGAGTTATCTCCCTGGCCCCATGTTTATGGTGTTTTTGTAGTTTCTTTTGTCAATAATTTCCAGTTTCATTGCAGTGTGGTCAGATAGTATGCATGGGATAATTTCAATTCCTTTGTGTTTCCTTTGCTCTCTGTGTTAATATATGGTCTGTTTTGGAGACCCTCCCACATGC